GATTTTTTAATAACCATTCCCAAAACCGTTCTCTCAGTGTATTTTTAAGAATATAGCACATTATCTAACAGATGGAGAAAGCACCTATTTATAGCCGAGCTCAGTGTTCGCTGCCGAGGCTGCAGATCTAAGCGAGGCAGTTAATATGCTTTCTCCGCCGTGTAGTATATACTATTTTTTAAAGCGTTAAATAATTCTGTACTTGCTTACGTTAAAATTATCGAGTTTGCGACATTTTCATTATTGTATTGCGGTGAATAATCAATCATGGGACTTTTAAACTGCGTACAAAAATGAAGTCTTTTAATGTAGACTTATGAATGTTATAATATGAAAATTGTCATACGCTTAAAAAATACTTTTTCTTACTACCTCGACTCAAAATACGTTGTTTCGTCCCCGATTCCACGGCAGAAAGTTTACGTTTGATGCATTGGTCAAATTTACGTTTGATGCATTGGAATCGGGGACGAAACAACGTATTTTCGAGTATATTACACTACAAGGGCTACGAAGGCTTCGCTCGTGCCGCAAATGTCAGGGCAGGCATCAATATGTTTCGATATACACATTTAATTTTTTCCCGTATTTTCGGCCGGTTTGGGTTGGGTTGTATTTTCGGCCGAGGTAGTAAGAAAAACAGTATACACTACATGGGCAGAAAGTGTGAGAGCCCTGAACTGCTCGCCATGATGCCCTCGGCTTCGCCTCACACTTTCTGCCCTTGTAGTGTAATATACTATTTTGGATATTTGTGTTATACAAAATATCATTCATTTGAGTATTGTTTACCAAGATCTGTAACAATTCCCTGTTTTAAAACGTTATGAAAATAAAACCATTAACTTGGTAATTTTTGTGTGTTTTGTTGTGAGGCTTCGCCTCAGGCATCATGGCGCGCAGTGCAGGAATCTCACACTTTCTGCCCTTGTAGTGTAATATACTATTTCGGATATTTGTGTTATACAAAATATCATTCATTTGAGTATTATTTACCAAGATCTGTAACAATTCCCTGTTTTAAAACGTTATGAAAATAAAACCATTAACTTAGTAATTTTGGTGTGTGCCAGTTGCTAATAGCTTAAGGCTGGCGCGCACAGTTCAATTTTATTGATGCGTCAGCGTCATTTTGAATTTCCCTTTATTCACAAGCATCGTTTGTTGCAGATTATTATAAATAATGTTATACATTGTGTGTATCATATTCTACCACTGGATTGTACAAACAATGTTACATGTAATTGCAATTGCCTTAAGGCTTGTTGGAAACGCCAACAGTTATTAGATTCCAAAGACATTGCGCCCTTAATAATAAATTTGGGGAAATAATCAGACTCCAAGTCTGACCTGGTTGGCTCTGGTAATTTAGTATTTTTGTGTTTCTGGTAATTTAGTATTTTTTTTGTTATGTACATATGTAATAAAAATGTAATAAACTGCGATTGTTTCCTGTCTAAACTCATTTAATCAAAATTTGTTCGTAACAAACTCGTAATTAGTTAGTGAATAAGATTATAACAATGATGTTATAATTCCATCTTAATAAACAGCCCCAACCGCATAAACAGTCAACAATACACGAGCGTTAGATTGTGCCTGGGCACGTATGAATAGACCTTAACGCTGACTTCATATGCCGTTGATGACGTGCATCAATGCAGATTTAGCCGCGACTATATCTTATTTCCAATTTTGGGAAAATGTAAAACCCCAAAAATTGGTTTGAATATTTGAAATAAATTATAAATTATATTTTTCCTTTTGCCTAAAAAAATTTACCATAAATTCACACTGCAAATATATTTTTTTTAATGGACTATTCAAAATAGTCTCCGAAGACAACATTGATTCATCAATTGAAAAAAAATATTTTCTATTTTTAATTTACATTCTTCTTTGGGGACACTTTTCTTTGGACTCCCCCTTCTCCTTGGTGAGATGTGGTAGACTACCCTCTCCCTCACGTGAGATTCTATCCATTATCTTTCATTGCGGACAACATAATAAACCCAAAAAAAATTGATTACTTTTTTTTGACAAATTTGAATTATAATACTTATCAGGGTTGGCATGATATATATCAATGATATATATCCGATATTTATCATTGATATATATCATGATATTTATAAAAAAAAATAAAAAAGTGTATTTCTTTCTCTTACTTTAAACAGGCTAAAATTGTTAGCAGAGGTAGCAAGCCGCGCCGTGAAACAAGGTATTTATAACTAGAGTGCAGATTTTTTTGTATAGTATATATACTATATATAAATCTGCACTCTAGTAATAAATCTGTGGGTAAAAGGCATAAGGGGATAAGTCAAAAAAAGCAATTTTTCAATAGAGCCTTTAATGTGTTCGCATTAATTCAGGAAATATATTTATGTTTAGCGGGTATACGCTTTTGTTAGCTATGACATGTGCTAACAAAAGGGTATACCCGCTAACCACAAACATGTTTCCTGAATTAATGCGAATACGTTTAAGGCTCTATTAAAAAATTGCTTTTTTTGACTTATCCCCTTATGCCTTTTGCCCACAGGAATATGCTCTACTATGGAGAAAGGCAGTAACTGAAAAAAATGCAAAATGCGTTTTCTTGTGCTATGGTAAAGCTATGGACATTTTGTAACCGAATTCAACACAGAAATGCAGTCAAATATCTCATAAGTTAAAAAAATCAATTAAACACCTACTGCTTTTTATAAAAATGTAGTTTATGCTAATTTTCCACAAATTTCTTGTTTAGCAGTTACTGCCTTTCTCCATAGTAGGGCAGCATACCACACAATAAAATTGATTTGTAAAACATGTCTTGTTACCAAACTAGTATGTTATTCCTTTTACAAATTTTATAGAATAAAGTCCTAAGACAATGAAATTCAATAAAAAAAAAGTGAATTTTATTGTATGTAGAAAATACCTTATAAGAACATTGTCATTAAAAAGTTGCAAAAATGGCGAATTCGCCGGGATAATGAATAGAAATTTGAGGTGAATTTAATAATCAATTTTTAGTAATATTTAAAGTTAAGTGTTAAATGATATATTGGTTATTATCATTACAATAGTTCCGCTCCAAGCACTACATCCGTGTGTTTGGGAATCTTGACGTTACCTCTTCTAATGTATTATGTACAATTTGAAAATAAAAATCAAATTAACTTTCTTTGGCCCACATTGTATTTAACATGAGTATTAAAACGTTCGCAATAATCGTATTATTCAACATTATTCTCCGGAGATTCGCAGAGGATCTAACTTTGAGCCGCCACGCGAAATTAGCGTCTCGCTGTCGGAAAATTACGCGTAACCCTGAAACCTGACGCCGCCGTCGAGCAACGGCAATGTTACCTCTCACTCCAACCCGCGATCGCACGTCGTCGGCGTTTTGCCGCCCCGCAAATGTTGCTGGCGGCGGCTGGGTGTATTTCGTTCGTATTTGCCACCCGTCGTCGCGGCGGCAGCAACATCAACCGCCACCATCGCTCCACAATGAAACAGAACATATGATTATACCGTGGAGCACTGTCCAGGAAAATGTTTAGATGTTTGTATATTACACTAAAAGTTTAATTTTGTAGGGTCTGTATTAAATAAAGGTAGTCAAGTGCCGGCTTAGAGTTGAGTTATCGATTAAATGATTTGGCTCACTTTACTTTATCCACAATACTCTTGTTTCAGCACCCTTTCAGCCACTTAAGCGGCAGCTTGATCTCCTTCCTTCTGCGCTCGTCACCGAGCGCCATTTTTATTTAATAAACGTTCATTACACCCTCTAAATTTTATTCCCTCTGAAATAAAACTTTATTTAGTTTTATTTTATAATACAGGGTGTCAACCTCAGCTCGCTAATTTGATTTTATTCTATGACAACTGGGCACTATAAGAAACACAATTTAAAACTAATTGTCTAAAGAAATATTGAAACTTTTTATTTTCGGGGCCCTGTATTTAAAGCAAATTGGTTTACGGATTACGGTTTTCGTTTTTAGATAAAATATTTTGTTGTAATTTTCCTGAAAACGCAAGTTGATACAGCCGGAGCCAAAAACATATCTTATCGCATCTCAGTTTGTTAAACAAAATTCAAAAATAACAGCTATCAAGGTCGACTGCCAAAAAATATTACAAATAAACCAATAAATATGTTTTAATTACGTCAATTTGTTTTGTTTTTTCGGTTTTAGTGCTGGTGGAGTATCAATATTAACTTTAAATACAGAATGCCTGGCTGTGGTATTGATTATCTCAAACCTTACACTTAAACACAAGCAATTCTCGGATATATAAGTTTTTCAATTTTCGTCCGCTCCATCTGACGGCGGTAATTGGGAGTTGCACACAAACCCTTCTGCCTCCGCCGCCCTCGCTCCCGACACGGGGCGGGGGTGGCCCACCACCCTGACCCCCCGATCCCTCCCCGGGGGGAAAGTCGACGGAAGAGAAACGGACGACTGAGGGACGTGGGGGGATTTATGCCCCCCTTATCCCGATCAATGTTGACACGACACGCGAGATGTCCGAATGACGTCACTTTATCGCGGCCACTTCCTGCCCCCGCGGGGCGCCATTTTTAAATAATTTAAGACTAATTTTTTTAGACTACAAATTAATAATGAGCTCAGCTGGTCATTTTGTTACACAAATTAGGTTTAAGCCAATTAGATGATTGTTAATTATGTAGTACCTTAATTGAATTAACACCGCGCTGCATAGCTGTTTCAATTAAAATATTCCAAGTAATTTTTTGCATACACTGTAAAATATTTTAGTGGTAAGAGTAATTATTTCAGTCCGAATCTTAACTTGTACACGCAGTATTGTATTTGACAAGATATGTATGACATTTGTACAACATTTTTTCACCATTTACACATTTATATTTTAAAGCAGAATACCTAGTTCGTATTATTCGTAGCCTTAAAGTAGTTTAGATATTATTGTATAAGATTTCGAAATGTCGGACGCACAGTGACCCGTGGGTCGTTTTTCAGGCGCTGGAGTGAAAATGGAGCACTTCCAGGCGGCTCTCGACCCCCGGAAACAGGAGCTCCTAGAGGCACGCTTTCTGGGCGCTAGGGTGAGTCCTGACTGATTTTTTTAACATTATATTTTTCACATTTCTTTATTCTTTTACTTTTTTCTCATGCACATATATTCATCCTAGTAAAAACATCCAGACGTTGGTTGTAACCATCATCAAATTTCCATAACTGTCTCCAAATATGTTGAACATTTACGTTTAATTAAGAAATCCTTTGAAACGATGATCCGCAATGACAAGAGCCCAGCAGGCGCTGCCTGCATTTAATAGGGGTCGTGTGAGACAAATATGATAAAAACGACCCCTAAATTCATATCTACCCCAACGATACAGGCGCCTGTTTATTTGCCGTGCATTCCAATCGCCCCCAGAGGCGGTGACCGAATAACAAAAGATCCACCGCGATAAAAGTCAATACTTATTGTATTATCACCAAGGCTTAAGAGCAATAACAATAATTGTATTTGACTTTATATTTTATGCTGATTTTAAGTAGGGATATATCAAATATTTGATTTTACTAAATGTTGCTTAAGAAATATTTGTAGATTAAACAGCGTTTTAAATAAATCTCGCCCGGTTATGGCGTTGTTGCCGTTTTTACTTCAAAGTCACGTGACGTGGCAACGAAAAAATACCGATCTAAAAAAGCAACGTAATATTTTATGTTCTGCGTCGAAATAAAATAAGCGCAGGACCGTACGATAAATCTCATTTGAAGAAAATTTAAATAAAATTTAAAAATTAAAAGATGAGGATGGGCTAGTAATTAGTTTTAGGGTGTCAGTGATTGGCCGATTTTATTATTCACTGTGATTTGGACAAATCATAAAATTCGACATATGTCAGGTGTTTGCAACCCCACTTTCTACTTACAATAATTGTATCGTTTAACAAATAAAATTGGCTTTAAATTCTGAAAAATGTATTAAATTAATTTATAACTAAAAAATACATTAATAATTTTAATACCGGTCCTGCTACGAGAAGAGCTCGGTTCACTGCAGGGACAGTTATGTGATCTGGGATCCACCATTTTGAATCTATTAACGTTGACCTTTTATGTGCAAACTTCGTATACCTTATTGAATTGATATCTGGAAGGTACAGTCCCTACCGTTGCCATTTAGCTTCTTTCCATTGCTACTGCCTGCTGAACGTACTCTCTTAAAAAAGCAGCACAAGAAGACACCGACCGTATCGATTTTCCTCGAAAAACAAAATGCCAAGGGTGGTTCAATTTATTGTTTTCGAACGTGCCTCATTAAAATAATTGCAATCAATATACCCGCCCCGACGACACTTGGCAGCATTGTGTGCATGTATGTGTATGTATATGTTGCCAAATATTACAATTTCAATTACAACTTGTAAATACGCTTACGTATCGGATATTGTACAACACATTCTAAAAACATCCGATCTAGTTGTATTAGAATATGCTAAACGTTTGCAGAAAGTGTTCAAAACTAAATATTTATTAAGTAGGTATAAATAAATCAAGGTTTCCTATTGTTTTCCATAATATTAAAATTTTTATTATGAAATTATTTTTTTCAACACACAAGCTTAAATTAAAGTAAATTTACAGGCTTGTTCCAATTCCATTTAATTTGCGCTAAAAAAATATTCGTTCGGACCAAGGTCACTTTTATTATAAAAGTTTGTCATTTTGTGAGTCAAGTTGTTATAAGTATGCATACTTTATTTATATGGATATGTGTATAATGTCTTGAAATCTTTTGACTTATATTTTCTCTACAGGTAGTATACAAATATTGATGTTGTTGATGTTGAGTAGGCCTGTCTATTGGTCAGGCGAAAATAGATCAATTTGCTTGGTCGGGTTTGAACAATATAAATACAATTAGAATATATATTATTCTATACGTAATTTATATTAAGATTTATATACGTCAGAAATAAAATATTATTGCATTAAATTAATTTATAGAATATAAAGGTTGTCAATATTTTACTTAAATGTCTAAATTAAATCATGCTGTAATAAATTGATGATTTTAATCAATATTAGGGTCACTTATATGTTACCATAAATATATTGATTTAAGTATAATAATTTATAAATAATATAATAAAACAATATTTATTAATGGATAAAAAAATTATAAATTGTACACAAAATTGTGTCTTATCAATGCTATTGTAACTTGTGATTGGATAAAATTTGTATTATTAATTGGTTTTATAAAACAAACAATTAAAAACATACATGGTCCCAGAGTATGTGGACAATCTCTCGAATTTATACACATAATACATACAATGTAATATAACATGGGTAGCGAAAATTGGAATGGGCATGATAGGGCAAGTGATACCTTGAGTATTTAAAGATATCGCCAAAAAAATAATCAAATTGAATTCATTTGTTTTCTAAATTGAAGTTGAAAGTGTAAACGAATTCGTTTCTTATTCTTATTCAATTAAAAAAGTACAGGAATTTTTGACAGAAAAACAATGATAATAGTAGAACTAAGTATTTAATCTATTAAGTGCTTAAAACGTCAGCCACCAACTTTCTTAAAAAATACAATTTTTTTCAAAATTTTGAAGTATTTGGGGTTATTTAACGGCATTCATCCACGATTCGTTGTCGCGCTTGTAGGGACCACGGCTTTGTTGCGAAAATTTTACTTTTTAAATTACCCGACATCTAAGGAAATCAAATCCGGAGATCTGGCCGGCCAATCCAGAGCTCCTCTTCATCCAATGCATTGTCCAGGAAACACTCGGAAACATAATTTGGAGGTGCTCCATCTTGTTGAAACATTAAATGGTCTTCCAAGTCATCGTTTTCAACAATATCGACCAGTATGGGATGAACTACATCTTCTACTAATTCCAAATACGGTTCTCCTGTTAGGTTGCCATAAAAAATGGTTCCAACCATCTCCAAAAATACCTGTCCAGGTTTTTGAAGATTTTGAGTTTGGACTTCGTTGAAAACCCTTGGATCTGTTTGACAGTTGAGTTAAGAAAAAACGTTCACTTGTCTAAAAAACAGAAGTTGAAAAGTAAATTTGTCAGTCAAAATCTTTCCCATTAAATTCATGAACTAAATGAATTTTGTAAGGACGAAATTTATGAGATAGAGATATTCGTTGGTCGTTTTAGGAATATTGGTAACCCTAGCTAATTTCTTCGTGCTCAGTTTTATTGGATCAGCAACAACTTGTCCCAAAACTCCCATCTCAGCAGCTTCGTTCCTGACCGAACGTTTACGTTGAGGTCCAACGTTTTTTGTTCGCTATTTTCTATTCACATGCCTATCATGATGCTGTTAATTGAATAAATATTCTGCACGATTTACGCACTTTTTTTAAGAAAAAATGGTAATCATTTCAACTCTTTTTGCAATACTGCATTGCTACATTGTTAAATGAAACTGATCTAATTTTGTGTACTTAAAATACTGATGTAGGCTTTTTTAGGATTCGACAGCTTTTCTATACGACTTTTCTCAAATTTCTTACGAATGAGTCAGCGTTGCCAACCGCACTATAACTCTAGTATTTATACTATAATTGTATGTTGGTGTACTATGTACTATAGCAAAGTATTATAGTACGTCAAAATACCATTATTTTAAATAATATATGAATAATAATATATAAAAAATATATCTAAAATTGCTGAAAAAGAAAACTGCATAATTTGCAGATTTCGCGCAAATGCAAAAACGAGTCACATGAAGAACGCCGCGGCGTGGATAAATGCAAAAATGTGTTAATCTTTATACTTAACATTATAGTTAACGGATTTTTGCTTAGCACGAAAATATCACTTGGTTTGTTTTAACAATAAACGATTTATATGTACTCTGTAAAATAAGTTTCGCGTGGTGCGCGTCAGTGCGGCGCGTGCATTTATTTTCTTGCTTACAATTAGCTTTGTACTGTCAGTTTTTATTTGTTAAATTTGTACTCTCTGTTTTTTTGTTGTATCTTTTACTTTTTCCTTAGTCTCTAAAAATGAATTAGTCAAAAATGACTAATTTAATAGTTATTAGTGGCTGCTTTTTCACTTGTACCATGGTTAACCACGGAATACTATGGTATCCCAAAATTTAACAGCCAATTATTATGTAAAATTGTCCCCTAAATCCGAAAATACCGTCAAAAATTATAAAAGTAGAACAGTTTTTAAGATATCGTCAATTTTTCTTTTAATATGGAATTCACTATATCTCAAAAACTGCTCCACTTTTTGACGGTATTTTCGGATTTAGGGGACAATTTTACATAATAATTGGCTGTTAAATTTTGGGATACCATAGTATTCCGTGGTTAACCATGGTACAAGTGAAAAAGCAGCCACTAATAACTATTAAATTAGTCATTTTTGACTAATTCATTTTTAGAGACTAAGGAAAAAGTAAAAGATACAACATGGCTGTTAAATTTTGGAATAGCGTGGTATTCCATGGTTAACCATTGTACAAGTGAAAAAGCAGCCACTAATAACTATTAAATTAGTCATTTTTGACTAATTCATTTTTAAAGAGTAGAAACGTTTGTTTTCTCCTTGCTATAGCGATACATATGCTTGCGATTTAGACGGTTAATGCATAATTTAAAAACATTTTTTTATATTTTAAGATTACATATAAATTGTTTTTATTTAGAACATAAATGCCACTTGACTTGTTTTTACAATAAACGATTCATATAAATGTATAAATAAATTTTATTATAACTTTCTAACATATAGTATTTACAATTTTAAATAATTTACTTTTTCCCTGTCTTTTTTATCGATTAGGTACAGATTTAATAGACATAAATAACTCAATGTATTAAAGGTAAAATTAAATTAGTATTATTATTATCTATTAAATTTATTTATTAAATATAATAAGACGATAGCTAAAATTGTCGAAAAATGTACCAATTTGGTAAAATTAAAGAAAAATTGCTAGTCGAAAACCGACATATACATTGTATATTATACAACATATGTACTATAACTTTTCTCCAAAATATTACAATTAAAATGAGAAAATACTATAATAT